TATTTTCTTGTAGGCTGTTGATGGAAATGTGGTCAGTTTCTCATACCCAGTGTATAGAGTTATGGTCTATGAGAAAATGTCAATGTTAAGACTAATGTTAAAACTTGTTTTGATGTGAGTGCATGTGCTCTTATCACGTGATGCACAGGAACATTTGAGTGGCAGATTATTATCTCCATTAGTTGTTTGGCTGCTTGTGTCAGCAGTCTTGTTGGTAGATGTAGGTCTGATTCTCGTGTATTTATTGTAAATGCACACTTGTATTTTAACTGCTGTCACGATGTACGTTACGTGCTGTATTTCCAGATTATATACTGCATCAACACAATCTTAGCTGTGATAAAAAGGAGCAAGTGGCCAGACGATGCAGAGGTATTTAGTGTACTGTAGATGTGCACGAATATTGTGGCCAACGTGTAAAAAATGATATCTCTTTATATACACTGAGTGATTAACATAGAGTTTATAGAAGTCATTCATGTTCAATGTCATTATTCATATGTGATTATTGAACGCGGCCTGGAGATCACTCTAGCTTTTATGGAGTTAGTGGTGGTAGTCATAGCTATTTTGTGTGGCTGTGTGGTTTCGGGTATGCAGATGTATGTATTCTTCTGTAGGAGTTTGATGTTACATAAAAATAATGCTGATACAGTGGTTGTGTAGAGGTTATGCCCGTACACACACTCCACGTGTAATTTATCTCACAGGAAGCCAAGGCGGGAGCGTTTGTGATCGGAACGAGTGATAGTGGCGCCCCCATATTACGCAATCCTGCATCGTCACACATCATGCCCCTCATGCAGAATATGCTGGGACTTCTCAGGTACGGTTGTTCTCTGCCTGAGATTCACAGCATTGTGATCCCCATAAAGGAAATCAAGGCATATGGGCAGTTGGCAGGAGAGTGAAGTTCAATATCCGATCTACCAAAGAATGTGTGTGTACACGAGTTTGCATGTGTGCGTGCAGGTGTGCATGCGTGCACATGTGTATGTTTATGCATACCTGTGTGTGTGTATTTGTGTATGCATGCGTTCGTGTGTCTGAGTGCGTGTATGTGAACATGTGTGTGACAAGATAATTAATAATACTTCCTTTAATTAAATGCCTTAGTATTACTACATAATCTGCATTTTTGTTAAATTTGTAAAAATAAATGTGTTAATTTATTTGATTTTTTTTTCCATTTTTGTTAATTTTGGTAAATGTGTAAATTTGTTAAATACGTGCGTGCATGAATCCCTCCGCCTGTCTGTTCACTTGTGTGCGTGTGCGTGTGTGTGTGTGTGTCCTTCTGTGTGTGTGTGCCTCTGTGTGTGTGTGTGTGCGTGCGTGCGTGTGTGTGTGACCCTGTGTGTGTGTGTGTGTGCCTCTGTGTGTGTGTGTGCGTGTGTGTCTGAGTGCGTGTATGTGAACATGTGTGTGACAAGATAATTAATAATACTTCCTTTAATTAAATGCCTTAGTATTACTACATAATCTGCATTTTTGTTAAATTTGTACCGTACGCTGTAATTATTCTTTCCAAAAAAACAGCAGATTTACAGCTCGCAAAATCACAGAAGATCTCACGTAAAACGCATTTGTGAAATATAGCCGCTCTTTTCTCTCGCAGCTCTTTCAATCGGATGTGGGTGCCAGAATTCCTGGGTCGGAGGTCGCCGGAGTTCGGGCACGCCTACGAGCTTCCCGAGACGGAGAAGATGGCGCTACTGGGCATCACGCCTCCGTGCAGCGACCAGCTGGACACAATCTCAATGAAGCATCCGCTTGAGCGCATGCAGACGTTCCTCACGAACGTGCACGACAACGGGTGAGAGATCTGTGTAGTAGCACGCATAGGAGAGCATTGTAGGGTCACACCCTAGACGTGTACTAAGGAGATGTCATGTGTACTAAGGAGATGTCATCTGTACTAAGGAGATGTCATGTGTACTAAGGAGATGTCGTCTGTACTAAGGAGATGTCATGTGTACTAAGGAGATGTAATCTGTACTAAGGAAGGCCATCTCAGTTGGTCACAGATCGACTGCACTGCCCAGTGTGTGTTCATCCAGCCTATCAATCACTGTCATTGAGCTATACAGTTAGTGATAAGTGAATAGTTTCAACTCACAATAGCCTGCTTCGGGATAAACTGCCTAAAGCTGAAAAGCAGCTGTTTTACAGCATTTACAGAGTGTTTCTCTACATAGCGTCAGATTCTGTTCTTCATTCATTCACCTGGTTACAGTCAGGCGCGTAGCTACCTATACGCAAAGTACGCAAATGTGTACTAAAAATTTTCAGAATAAAAAAATACATGACCTTTTTACTAAAACAAAATAATATAACGTTCAGTTGGGCTTACAGAATTATGCGTGTGATAAGAATAATGACTACAGTGTCATTATGCCAGATGGTCGGAAGGATTTCAGTAAAAATAATAACTGACAAATTTGAGTGCAATTTTGCGTACCATAAAAAAATGTCTGGGTACGCCCCTGACATTGTGGTACTTTCTGGGCTATTTAGCAAGATGCTGTTGCATTTTTACTCCCAGGGCTATGTCAGCATCAGCGTGTTATTTTTTACAACAATCATTCAAACGCAGCTCTTGATCTGAATGTGTAGGTATCCCGTAATGTGAAAAGATATCTACAGTTTCTTGCAGAGCCATATTGTTACAGTTACGTTCGAGTTCAATTACCTGCGTGTGAAGAGTCGTAATTTTATGAATTGCATGCTACTCAACTAAAATCCCTTTTAATTTCTACACTCGCACAGGAATGCCATTTGCATTCACACCCCACAAACCGTCTAACATGTTGTTTTTCTGCGTGGGTAGGTATCATATACTAGGTAACGCGGGATCAAGTCTGGGATTCCAGTTCTACAGTACGGAAGGACTTGCTGACCTGCTACTGGGAACCGTCTTCACAAGTCTCGACTCAATCCCCGACTACAGACTCAGACCCATCATTCATATCCTTGTACGAGAGGCGACGCATGATGTTACTGTGAAGTAAACGGAATGCAATAAATGATGAACGCGGCTTGATTGGCGTCCTAGTTGGTAGATGGGATAATGGTAACCCATGTTTAAAGTCTTTTGTGTAACCATTGTTCGATGTATGTTCAGAGTAATGTTCAGAGCAATGTAATGTTCAGAGCAAATTCTGAGAATTCCTTTGGTAAATTAAAAGTGGTGTTATATAAGCTTATTAGATATTTAGATTTAAGTACAGTGTCAGTTTCTAAGTATTTAATAATTACAAGTTGATAGATTTATAATGTCTTATCACTGTGTGAGGTGTTAACTGTGATTCCACCATGTGGTCATAACTTTGCAAAAATCCAAAAGTTACATTATTCGTGGTTCCATGATATAACTGCATAGTTTACGATACTTGTCGTCTCATGACGCATGGGTTCACATTTAGATTTATGTTAGTTTATTCAAATCCCTTCACTCAGATTAATGGTATTTATTTCTTAGTGATTTAACAAATCAGTACAGGTTATTTCTCAAACTTTAGAGGAGAAATTTGAGTTCTGAACATAACTGAACATATCTCAAGCTGTTAAGCTAATATTTGTGCACGCAAAATTTTACACACAAAAAGTAGTTCCACTGTCATAGTACACAGTTGAGGCTATAAAAAAGAAGTGGTATACTGCACGCACTAATGTGTACATGCATTCAACACATGCACGCAACACGTGTATACGTGAACATGCATGCATACGTGCATACATCATTTGTGTACATAGTTGGCTTTTGTAGCTGTAGTAGGCAACGTTGGTCAACCTCTCTTTTTGTTGTGACCTTGACTCACTCTCTGTACGGATCTTCCTGAAGCCCTTTGTGCAGCACTGCCCTAAGGAGTGCTACAGCAAGGTGTTGCTGCCTGTGCTCTGTGTTGTCTGCCCGTACCTGCTACACAGGCTCAGCGGAAAATGGCAGGCGATCAACCAGCGCTATGAGACGAGGTACATACGTGTCCGCCCCAATGCATCGCACAAGGGTTCGACCGATTTTGTTCAGTGTTCACTTGTTGCGTGAATTTTTATTGTGTTTTAAAAGTGGATCTTTTTAATATTTGTATTTGTGTCATTGCGTCACTACTTTGCAGCATTTCTCGTAACATTTCATGTTTCTATTGTACTGTCTTTTGAGTGGTTTTATCGCGCTGATATGAATTGGTATTATAGTGATAAATATGCCTTGGTTGCCCATTGGACCCTTACAGGTCTAGGTCATTTACTGTTTCTATCTTTCATGAGGTGTCTTTCATGAAAACCACAGCACGAAAATGTGCAGTGTCACCTTGCCTCTCTATCTCGGAATGTCTTTGCTGAGTAATTGATTGATGTGGTCGTAGTCATATTGTTTATTTGTTGCAGTGGCGACAATGAAGATGACATGCCTGAATCACAGGAAGTTCTTGAGGACCAAATCATACGGCAGTTAACTCGTGACTACATTGATTTCATAGGTGCGCCCACCCGTGTTCAAACTCTGACCTCGTCTATTCTGCAAAAAGCATTATGACGCCCGCATATGTGATCTGTATTCCAGCCCCTGTTTTCTGGATAATAATGCTCGCTCCCACAACCATGTGAATCTCCATGTAGCATTTACCTTAAGATTTGTTAGATAATAGTCCACTCTTAAATTTATCATCGCTCAAGTAAATCAGAGAAAATCGTAGAAATGAATAAATGTAGACAATATTAGACTCGGCTGTCAGTGTACACATTACTGATTACTTCAGCATAACAATTATCACGAGTTTGTGCTGTTATAGGCTATAAACAGTAAATTAACAGCAAAATAGCACCTGCTAACTTGCAATACACCAGAATGGAATTTTCAAACGCTCTCACAAAACAAGTGCACGTAGTTGTGTTATTTTTATAGACTGGTATCTCTTCATGTAGACAAAGGTAACATAGTGTAGAGACAGGGTACCAGTCGCATGCTAATTTTGTAGACATGTAAACTAAAACAAATCTAATTTGATATTGGTGAAATGAGTGATGTGTTGAAGCAAGCAATGAAGTGTTTTATGACGATAGCCTTGCTACATACTCTTGGTGTTACGCAAGGAGTGCAGGTAATGCTAGCCGCACACTATCCAATTTTGCACTGTGCACAGCACTGTGCCCCCGCACACTATACGACCCGCTCCCGATCGATCGGGAGGCCCCCGCACACTGTCCGACTCAAAGTTGTCGCAAACCATGGCACTCTCGTGGCGTTCCAAGCGGATTTAGCGTGTACTAAGGGTCGGGAGTGTTTTCCCGCCATTTTTACCGAATGCGGTTCCCATGGCGCTGCTCTGTGATTGGTCAATTTTCTTCAGCGCTCGCCGATCGGGTCGGATGGCCACGCACACTATCCGAGTCGCGTCATAAGCCCTCGCACACTATGCGCTCCCGATTCAAAATTCGAATCGGGCCAAAATGACCTCCCAAGCCAAACTTAAGCCTCCCGAGCCAAACTTAAGCCTCCCGATCCATTCGTAAGCCTCCCGATCGTGCTCGGGTCGGATAGTGTGCGGCTAGCATAAGTATTAGAACAGTCGAGAAAATATGAAAATTGTTTGAAAAAACGTGAAATCATCACTTTAATCAGCATAAAAGCATTATTCAAAATCGAGGTGATTATAATAAACATGTTACCTATAGTTAATAATAATAGTATTAAATATAAACTATTCATGATTTATAATACTTACCAGTGGTTTCACTAGTAAATCTTAGTTTTACCTCGAATTATTAATGTCACAACAATAAATATGCATCTGAGTAATGTGTCATAACAACATGAGCCATCATTTTTCGTATGTAACTAGGTGATGTAATGCGTCTCCATAGGTGTCATGTGTCAGAACAGGAAGACTCCAGACCCGGCTAACTGTGAGATGCTGGAGGAGGATGCTGCAACAGTGACTCCCGCTCACGACGACAGCCTGTCCGATCTAGGACTGCTGATTGCGCACACCGAGGTATCGTTTCTCCACCCTGTCTGTGCTGCCTTCTGATCCCCTAACTATGAAGAAGTCTGACCATCCCTTCACTTAATTGTGCATGAATAATTCACATGTTCCTCGTTGAGGTCTAGCTATTTTCTACCTTAAGTTAAACTTAGTTAGATAGTTTACATGTATTTCATTATTAAGTTTATGTTATATATATATATATTAGAACGTGCTTATACACGGAGTTTGAGAGTTGCTATATTTCATCATTTCGTTGCAGACCATTGGTTCGCCTGTGATACTATTTGTCTTCTATGCGCTGTGTGTGAATGATGCGACCACATGTAATAAGACAGTGCCACTCTGCTGGCCGCTACTCAAACAGGTGAGCTGTTGCTGTTGTCATCTGAGGGAACATCAGTATCTCCCATTACTTTGCCCCTTTATAATAGTAGTGAGTCGCGTGTGTGTGCATATGCGCATGCATATACGTGTGAGCCCACGCGTGTGTGTATGACTGTGTGTCTGGGTGCGTGGGTGCATGCATGAGCGAGTGTGCAATGCCACACACCTGTTAATTAATGCATCAGCTGCTTTAGGATAGCACTTAACTGGAATTAGCATTCATGTCTTTTGGGACATGAATATAAAAATCAATCAGCAATGCTTCGGAGCGATCATAATTTATGCTGTATTTTTCACACAAGTTGTGAGTTGAGGGATCTTAATATGGACAGTTTATTACACCTTATTTAGATTCCAGTTTAAAATTTATAAATGTGTAATAGAGTTGTCAAGTCTTTGAGTGTAGGTATTGTTGGTTTGCATTTTAGTGTTAAAGAATAGTCCTACTTGGTTTTTAATGTGTTTTTTAGGATTACGTTGCTCCTCATGTGTTTGAATGTTTAGTATTGCAGAGAATTTTTTATAATTATGTTCGAGTTGACCCTGCTATATATGCATCGTTATATTATTACTATTGTATATTACTATTATTAAATTGTAATAAATTATTATTAATAATGATAGCAATAATAATAACGATTATGAACAATATTTTATTTTGGCGAATTTGGTGAGATGTGCATCCACTCCAAATTTGGGAATGCAGAAGCCAGTTTCTAGAAATTATAAGGTGACACTAGATTCCGATGTAACTGTGCGATTTCGTCACCAGTGTCTCGTGGACCGGAGTCTGTCAGCAGATGGCGCCATGAATCTCCTGCGCTACGTCATCCTGGGTTTGCAGCAGCATGGTCAGCATGAAGCCTGCCAGTCCCAGCTGCTCGGCCTCGGTCTGCAAGCATACGAGGGCATGGTACGTGACTCTGGGACTTGGGTTCGGCTGTTGTGATCTTAGAGATGGGTATGGGTGTGATGTTAGACTTGGATCTGGATGTGGTGTTGAACTTGGGTATGGGTGTGACCTTGGATTTCTGTCAGCATGTGATGTTAGGCTTGTTTCTGGGATTGGACTGAATGTGACTGTTTACTCCGGTAGAGCGTTGACTTTAGACTTGGGTCGGGATGTAGCCTTGGATTCGAGTTTAGTTATTAACTCAGACTTGGGTCTAGATGTGATCTTTAAAAGTAATTCCTATCCAAGGGTTATTTAGTTTTTCCTACTGCACTATGCAGCAGGTAGATTAGCTGGACAGAGCCACTATATTGAGGATTTATGTGTTATAACATTTTACACATAGAGTGTTCAACTGTTACTTGTTGTCTTATTATAGCGGCAGGTGTTTCCAGTGATACGGACCCTGCTGCTCCAGATTACCAGCTGTACTGAAGCTGCACTACAGGTACCGGTTGGGAAGCCGAGTGCTTCATAAATATCATTCATCCTACACGTTACAATTAATACAGCACATCTCTTAACATGTCAATTTTTACTTAATAGAAAAACAATCATGAAACTGCAGTAAATATTATCATGTTTGTTATATTTTTTACTTATAATTAATTAATAGTAGTAATCACACATTGCAGCTGAGACCCAAAACTGGTCACTGTATAAGACGCAGCTTTGACGTATTTTTCATTAAACACTTGGTGTTGAAATGGAGACCAGGAAACTGATCTCATCTATTAAATATGAACGCATATTTGTAATTCGATGAGCGTTTATTTGTTTATTCAGGCGTTTGACGAGAAGTTGCTGCAGGCGATGCCAACAAAGCAGCTGCCAGAAAAGAAGAAGAAAGACATGTTCAAAAAACTCGTTAGTGATATCATTGGGGTTAGTAGACTACCACCACTCTATATAGTGTAGTGTAGCATAGCGTAGTGTAGTGTAGTGTAGTGTAGTGTAGTGTAGTGTAGTGTAGTGTAGTGTAGTGTAGCATAGCGTAGTGTAGTGTAGTGTAGTGTAGTGTAGTGTAGTGTAGTGTAGTGTAGTGTAGTGTAGTGTAGTGTAGTGTAGTGTACTGTAGTGTAGTGTGGTGTCACTTTAGTGTAGTGTAGTGTGGTGTAGTGTAATGGAGTGTAGTGTATAACATGCTAGTGTACGACTACTGTTGTTGGATTTAAATTTAGCCTGTCGCCTGCTGAGATGTCCCGAGATGTGACTGTGACTAGTTGCAGTCGAGAACCTAGCTCGGTCACACACACAATGAAATATTTCAGTTGTCAATTCACAGTTCAGAATGTCACTAGAGCGACTGTCATTAAAATGGCATAGTTGTAATTTCTGTTTAATATCTGTTATAAATTGGTTCCAGGAAAACATAACACATTATGACATAGGTTTCAATGATCAACACATTTGGTTTATTCCACGAATTAAAAAACTTATTATATCTTAATATATTTATTAAGGGTTGAACACACTTGTACTATCGAGAGTAAAATGAAACTCAATAAACTACCTACACGTTTTAACCAATATTGAAATAACTACAAAACGTAATAAAAGCAATAGTAATAATGAAGAAATCATGATGAAAAAATTCGAATTCAAACTGCAAATCTTTACATTGAACGAATATATGACAATGTTTGTGTGTACAGCCAACAGGGTAAAAGTGAAGAATAGAGCAATTTAAAGAAATGAATATCGCAGTATATCTATATTCAATAAGTATAAAAAATAATCATGATAATCAGGATTATATATATATATCAAAATTGAACAAAAAAAAACATCTGTTTTAATTTACTTCTGATATTGTGTATGATGAGGGAGTCAATAAAATAATATTAGTATAGTATTACTTTATTCATTACTACTTTATTGTACTTTATTCATTACTACTCATTCAGGCACTATATTTACGACGTCATCTATATAATCATTCTTTTCTTTTGTCGTGAACAGCACAACATTGGACAACAGTTCCGGAAAGAGGTCCACATCAGGAACCTTGCTCCGCTGTTCAAATCCTCAAGACCGCGGGCGGCTCCCGTGCCGGAGGAAGAGAAGTACACGGGTTTATGTGAGCTCTTCAAACCGCCAGTGTGACGCTATAGGGGTTGACAAAGCGTGAGTTGACGCCCCCTCACATTGTGCTAACACCTTGTTGCAAAGTCACCGAGTGCCATGTGTCATGTTACTTCAACCTCACTGTTGAGCTGAAGTCACACGTGACAGGATGGCGTGTCTTAACAGATGAATTGTGTGATAGGCATGACTGTTCTGTTGTTTACCTCTGGTTGAAATGCGTAATACACGTGACCATTCTGTTTTAGATGCAGCTTGTTTATGTTATTGTTATGCAGCAGCTATGTGTTTAAGGCCTGATACTGTGTAACGTTGTTTGATCACTGTGCTTAGCTGCAGTTGAAATTCTATTTTACCTGACTGCTCTACTGTTTTAGCTGGAATTTATATGCTTGAAACCCCATTGCATCTGACTGTTTTCGCTGCAATTGAAACCCTATTGTTCATTGTTTTGGTTGCAATTGAACCCCTTTTGTTCCCTGTTTTAGCTGCAGTTGAAATATATATTACATTTAAATCTTTGACATTTTTCAAGAATTTTTTGTAATGATTATGAATCACCTGCTGATTTTAGTTGTGCCAGTTATCCCTGAGTGAGTTTTAAACGTGATTTATCTAGAGGGTAACAATGACGATAGGCTAGCTTTTAAGTCGGCACGATTTTTCATCTCTAATCTTGTTCTTTGACATTGAGATTAGGTAGTGACAATAAGATCGTTATCTGCGTTGGGATCGTAAGTCTTCGTATCTCGCAGGAGATAAGGGCTTAGGATGCTAGAACATTCATAATTTGTTTTTGAGTATTTGCGGTTGTAAGTGGGGAAATCGGCCCCCAAGTTAAAGCATCCGAGTTGTGGGTTGTGGGATTTGGGTGGGATAGAGTAGCAGATTTATTTTCTTGCTGAAAACCATTTTTGTTTCAGAAGTTATGTATTTTTCGATAGTGATCTAAGTGTATTGTATTTCATTTGTAAGTAGTATCTTGTTTTTAGCAGAGCAGTTAGTTCAAGAGCGATGAAACGTACCGTCTGTGGATATGCGAAGATATTGGGGTATAACATAATAAGCAGGAGTATTATCCCAGTAAGCCTTTGGCCTTAGGAGAGGAATGAAGTGTCTTTTCGTCATTTGTGATAATCCGAAGGAAATGGATCGTTCGTACGTGGTTGATATCCGCGCTATATAGTCATAAAATAAATACAAACAACAACCGAACATTGAGGTCAGGGTTCGAGTATTGGATTGCACCCTCGTGACTTTAGTGAAAAGAGGGCTAAATGTAGTTATCACTGGGTGATATCTGTGAAGGCTATGTGTGGCATGACGTTCAGACGCTGAAGGGGTTAAAGTGATTTCATCAGTCTTTCAATTAATTGCCAAAAAGCTGTAGATGGAGAAACACGCCCCTATGGGGGGCTTTGGGGATCCACGACTTCTCGTAAACTTTAAGATTAATGAAAAAACTAGTGTCAACTAAAAAAGATTGCAGCACCTACAAAATCACGGTATGCATGTCATCAACGAACATATGCACAGAACTATTCTTTTCCATGCATATCTTCAGGATAGAATAAATCTGCTGCTATCTTTATGTAGTGCATAATAATAGCCTTGCTTTTTCCCTCGTGCTGGCCTGACTCTGTGCTGGCTGGTAGTGCCAAATAGTTAAAGTCATGTATCTGTTACTGCATTCAGCGCTATTCTAATAGTTGAAGTATATGCGTGATAACTTCAGAGAGGTTCTGCAGATGTAACAGTCTCTAACCACATTTCAAAACTACGTTTTTATTTTCATTTGTGTGCGCGCGCGTGCGTGCGTGCACGCGCGTGTGTATTGTATTAGACCTTTATCAGAGTATTATAAATATGGTAGTCAGGTAGTCAGGGTATCGCGGAGGCATACTTATATGAAATTTAACTGCATTGCGGTTACAACCGGGCAGTGGACGACGCTCACGCATTTATACGTCCAGTTACACCGAGATTAATCAATAGATTACGCTGACATTGTACGCGTGTTTCTATAGCACGATCATAGAAAAATGAGCACACTGTGTCAATGTTGAGTTTGTGAAAATATTCTTCGACATTATTTGAAACATTTGTATTGTACAGTAGCCTTGCACAAATGTTTGTAATAACCCGATTTACTACCGTGAAATCGTGTGTAATATGTCAAGTGCTTATCGTTTATTTCCTAGCTATCATAATCAAATGGTTTCCATGTCTTCACATTTTAGAATGGCATATATATATATATATAAATCTTGTCTAGAATAAAGTGAGGTATGCATATCAGTATATACATATATAAAGCTTAGTGTTGTATTAAAAATAACTCAGTTAACGCCTATGTGCCCTGCAGAGCGACAGGCAGGCTGGCAGGCAGACAGACAGAGGGAGAGAGAGAGATTGCGCGCGCGCGGACGTTTCTTCTGTTGATTAGTTGAAAAGTTACAATTAACATTGTAAAATAACCGAAAGATATTTTCCAAATGTGAACATGAACAAAAGTTATTTTATGTAATAATGCAAACGTCATTTTATTTCACTAATAATCAGTTCGAAAGTTATAACAAATGATATTAATAAATACGGTGCCATAGTAGTCAGATATAACATTTATACTTGGCAGCGATTTACTATGATATACGTGCTTGTTAACTAGCAAAATTAATGATTTGATATCTTTGATAAGGATGTTGATGAAAATGGGTATATTACAGCATAAAATACAGAAACAAAAATAATGATTCTTGAAACCCCCGATCTACACCCTCCCGCCATTGTAGATTGACTCCCTCAATCATCGTTTTGGTTGCATTGGCTCTGAGACAGCGAATGCCTATTTGCAAACACATTTGCTCATATAAATATTGTTTATGTGTGTATGAATTGTATATTGTGAAGGAATGGGTGGACGAAACTGTAGTGAATGAATTCGATGCTAGAGTAACCGTGAGGAGGTACTGTATTATAACCCTATGCTTCTTCTGATTCCACAATTAATTGGGCTCTCGGCGACTACAAATTGTAATACTATATCTAAAGTACCTCAGGTAAAAATAACATACATCATTACAAGCTGTGATTAGATTAAGCGGACAGCGCGTGGCAATAAACGCTGAATTACGGAGCGATGTGACGGCTACACGTTTCACATGATCAGTATACGGAGTGGTGCCAGAGTAACCACATAGCAACATTGAGAGTCACAGAACGCGTCGTCCGCCATATTGGAACGGTTTATCGTAATCAAACGTAATAGGTACAAAACAAACCACAAAGTGAAATGTCACATAGACATTTTAAATCAAGAAATGTAATGTCTCATGTATATATCAAATCACGAAACGTAACATCACAGGGACATATATCAAGTTACGAAATCTAATGTCACGTGCACATAGCAAATTACGAAACGTAACATCACAGGGACATACATCAATCTAATGGCACATATAGACATAGCAAATCACGAAACGTAAACTCACATGGACATTAAATCACAAAACGTAACATCACAGAAACATCAAATCACGAAACGTAACATAGCAAGAACATTTTACATCACGAAATGGAGCGGCACATGACAGTAGGCATACATATAGACAGTCTTGATTATCATTTGCACTACAACAAAACCAAAGAAGAACGTTAGACATAGCGAGTGTCAAGTAAATATTCCACTCGTTATTGTCTTGTGTCCATCTTGTACGTATGTTTTTCATCCATCTCTCTTTCTCTCTCCTACTCTCTCCCTCTCTCTAAACTTTACTAACCGTGACGTGTTTGACCTTCAGACTAACAACAACAGCCGTCAGGATCACGAACACTATAGTGGCAGCGATGACTGAGTAAAAACTGACAGGTTGGACGCACGAAGCAGTGTCGGGGGCGGCGGGGGCGGTTGCAGCTTCAACTTCCACTGAAATAGAACAATGGTAGCCGGCTTAGCAGAGGATCCAGTATCTAGTTCGGCCGCCTCAGTTTATTGAGTTAGTCTAATGTATTAATGTGATTTCAAAACCGCTCGCCTGTTGCTAACATTAATCTCAAGAGCACGGAGATTAAAATGAGGATAAAAGAAACATAGGGATGAAAGAAAGAAGAAGAAGACGATGACGAACAACAGCAACAACAAAAAGCACAAGAACAAGAAGAAACAGGAGAACAAGAATAAAATGGATTACATGATCTGTGTAAATATAAACTTAGATTTACTAATTAATACTATTAATATTAAATCTATTATCTCTTTTATATACACTGATTGCGCGCAAAGCTTTGGGATCGTTTATATTGAAACACCTCCTCACATATAAACAGCATTCTCTCTCTTACTCTTTCTCTT